ATCGAGTCCCACATCGGGCTCCCTGCTCAGCAGGGAGTCTGCTTCTCCCTCTGACCCTCCTCCCTCTCATGCTCTCTGTCTCTCATTCTCTCTGTCTCAAATAAATAAATAAAATTAAAAAAAAAAAAATCATTGATTTAAAAAAAAAGCAAAATGAAGAGTACATTTATTAACGATGAGCACTGAGTAATGTATAGAATTGTTAAATCACTATATCGTACACTTGAAACTAATATAACATTATATGTTAATTATACTGGAGTTAAAATATATATACAGAACTTGTAGGTGTGAGATGTCAGGGAAGATAATCATAGCCTAAACTAGGAGGATAATGGAAGATTAAGTTTTACTCCAAGAAACTTTAGGATGAAAGACTCAAGAGTTTGGTCTTCAGAACAGACAGTGAGAGAAAAAGAGATGCAAAGATTACTCCAATTCTGAAGCTAAACCGAGAAAATGATTAATACCAATATTTGCAAAACTAGGGAAGTCAACAGAAAAATGATTTTGAAAAGAGACCATTCATTAATTCATGCAATAAATATGTCAGGCAGAATGTGATACCTTCCCCTCAGAGAGCCAGCTTGTGGGTCCCACCTTTTTTTTTTTTAAGTTACACTTTTTTTTTTAAGATTTTATTCATTTATTTGAGAGAGAGTGAGAGAGAGAGAGAGCACAAGGGGGGGAGGGTCAGAGGGAGAAGCAGACTCCCCACTGAGCAGGAAGCCAGATGTGGGGCTTGATCCCGGGACTCCAGGATCATGACCTGAGCTGAAAGCAACTGCTTAACCGACTGAGCCACCCAGGCACCCCCAGTTACACATTTTTAATAGGCAAAGAGAAACTATACAGTTCTTTGAGGGGAATAAAAGCTTTTATAGCTTTTAATGCTACAACAATTTCTAAGTCCCACTTTTAAAAGAAAGAGTACTATACGGCACCTGGGTGGCTCAGTTGGTTGGGCTACTGCCTTTGGCTCAGGTCATGATCCTGGAGTCCCAGGATCGAGTCCCACATTGGGCTCCCTGCTCCGCGGGGAGTCTGCTTCTCCCTCACCCTCCCCACCTCATGCTCTGTCTCTCTCATTCTCATTCTCTCTCAAATAAATAAATAAAATCGTAAAAAAAAAAAAAAAAGGGAAGAGAGTACTATAATAAAAATATTGAGCTGCTTTTCAAAATAAATGGAAAGAGGCAACAATGCAAAAGTGGAGCTGTTTAGTAAAAGATCTTAAGGAGTGGAATTACTATTTGACTGAAAGCTTCTTGAGAACGAATTTATCACTGACTCTTTGCATCCCTCACAGTGCTGAGCACACTGCAGTGAGTGATCACTACAATACAGATATTCAAATGATGGCTAAAGGAAGAGAGAAGAGTGAGAGCGGACTCAAGAAAAAACAAGTAGGAATGCCCTACCCAAGCCTCTACCCAGCATACCTAGAGGATCTACCCCCTGTGAAAGTGTGTTAGCCCTGTCACCCTGGCTGAAGGTAGGCTGATTATCTGGGTACCTCTTTAGGAGATCTAAAATACCAATAGAAAAACAGAAAGGAAATCAATTCTTATGAAAATATATATTGAAATTCTGCTCCCCACACTAATCCCTGGTAAGATTATCTCCAACCCTAACCTTAAAGGCAGAAAGAATGTAATTTTTTACTGTGTAGGGTTTGGGCTAATGCTAATTAAAGATACTCAAGGGCGGGCGCCTGGGTGGCTCAGATGGTTGAGCGTCTGCCTTCAGCTCAGGTCATGATCCCAGGGTCCTGGGATCGAGTCCCCAATCGGGCTCTCTGCTCCTTGGGAGCCTGCTTCTCCCTCTGCCTCTCTCTCTCTCTGTCTCTCATGAATAAATAAATAAAAATCTTAAAAAAAAAAAGATACTCAAGGGCATCCTCTCCTTTTAGACCATTAAAAGATATTTTTCTGGTTAAAAGTAATTTAAAAGCTTGGGGGCACATGGCTGGCTCAGTCAGTAGTAGAGCATGTCTCTCTTGATCTCAGGGTCAGTAGTCAAGCCCTATGGTGGGTGTAGAGCTTGCTTACATACATACATGCATACATACATACATATATACATACATACATAGTGCTTATACCATTAAAAAAAAAAGTAATTTAAAAGCCTAGATCTTAATAGTTAGTCCATTTGGCATACCACTGTTACCTACACCCATAGAACAGAGAAATGCAAAGTAGAGCTGCCTGCAAAGTGAGAGGCCGGATGCACAGGTGTTCCAAGTAGTTGCCAGGGACTGGGCTATTACTTCTAGGTTCCCCCAGCAGTTCAGATAATTACACACAGCCCCAACTTATCCAATATGGCTAAAAAGAGGAAAATGACTCGGCTTTTTAAATGAATAAATCTTATACAAATGCTTTAAGACCATCTCTTTCTCAAAAAGTTAGAACAGGGATGAATGCCTCAACACTGGCAAAGGCAGTATTCCAGTTAAGAGCTCAGGCTCTGGCTCCAGACGGACACGGGTTAAATCCCAGCTCTCCCACTAAATAGCCCTGTAACCATCTCTGTTACTATATCTCCCTACTTTGGGGCACCTGGGTGGCTCAGTCGGTTAAGCGTCTGAGGCTCAGGTCATGATCCCCGGGTCCTGGGATCAAGTCCCACATCAGGCTCCCTACTCAGTGGGAAGCCTGCTTTTCCTGCTGCAGCTCCCCCTGCTCACTCTTGCTCTCTCTGATAAATAAATAAAATCTAAAAAAAAAAAAAAATACATCTCCCTACTTTGCACAGAATTACCTTCCTTAAGATTTGAATATGGGGTAGATTCAGATGGTAGCTTTCCTTCCTATAACTATACCCTGATCCCTTTGACTGAACCTGTATTTTCCTTAATAGCCTCAACCACTAATTTTTAATGTAGAGCTTTCTAGATGGTTAAACTCATTCATTATCTTTGAATCTCCTGAATTTCCTTATTCAAGAACAACCTTATCTTGAAGCTCTGGCAGTTCAACAACCCATGCCCTGAAAGTGAGGAGCAATGGGAGAAAAGCACAGAGAAAACTGGATTGTAGGTAGAACATACAAACCTCTTTGTTGTATAAAACTGGTGCTTTCTTTAAATCCCAAATTCTGGGACAGCTGGCTGGCTCAGCTGGTAGAGCATTTGACTCTTGATATCAAGGCTGTGAGTTTGAGCCCCACAATGGGTGTAGAGATTAATTAAAAATAAAATCTTTAACAAAAAGTAAATAAAAAATAAAATCCCAAATGCTGTACACTGGAGACAATATGGAGCTAAGCACAGCCTATTGGCAACAAATTAAGCACAAAAAAAATTTTGACCTGAAGGAGGCCCACAAAGGTACCCTGCCTATACTTACCACTCCCACTTCTTTATCTAAACTCAGGGATCTTTATCCATGTTGTAGTGGATTTTGCATAGAGTGGGAAAGAGGGAAAACAAGTTCCACAGATTTTTTCATTTGCACTTGGCCTTTTTAGCACCATTATTACTACCACCCTAGTTCACTCAGAAAAGACTAAGTCCCAACCAATTTCTCTGCTTCAGGTCTCTCCACTCCCTTATAACCTGTGCATAGCACCAAACTAATTTCCTAAATTACCAGTTTCATTAGAGCACTCCCCACCTCAAAAACTCTTAACAGCTCCCAATACTGGAAAAGCCCAACTAACATTCAAAGCCCAGGCTAGCATTATCCTACTTTTATAATACACAATTGGTTTCCTCCTACTTCCCACACTGAAATTCTCTAAGGCTCCAACTAGACTAATCTGCTCACTGTCCGTCCCCGACCCCAAACCCGGCATGCCTAGGCTGGATTACGTAAACACCACTGCTCACCCTCCCACCCACTTTCTGCTTTTCCTTCAAAGGCCAGCCCAGACCCCCCTCCTCTATCCCTGCCCTAAATTGTGCTCCCAAAGCACGCACTGACCAGACTGCCCATCTTCTGACCCTAGTCAAACACATCCTTTTTAGCTGGCTATACTCTCTTGGCATCTTAATCCGCTCAAACGAAGTCAAAGTTCCTTGGAAGGCAGACCACATACTTACACAGAGGGTCTATCACAGCGCCCTGCACTTTTTAGGTCCTAGATATTATTAAAACCAGAGGAGGGGTTCAAATGATACATCTAAGTAAGGCAAGACCATACTGCGCATCTTTTCCAAGTCCTCTCTATTCACAGTAAAAGGCATTCAGCGTTCGCTACAAGGCTATGTATTTCTAGTATACACTGAGCGGCAAAGTGGAGTGAGCACGCCACCGGATGGCAAAAAAAAAACCCAAAAAAACCCGCGTCCCCATCCTGGTTTTTGCCACAAGCCCTGCGATTGGGAAATCACACAATATCTCTGGGCCTCGGTTATCTCAGGTGTAAAACAAGGGAGCTGCTTTGACGGATCCCAAGGTATCCTTCGGCTCCCGAATCCCCCCGGACAGGAAACCCAACACTCGTCTACTCACTCAGGCGCAGGCACGCAAACTTTTACGGTTCCCAACGCAGGCATTTCCATATAGTAGTGGAAACTCCGTCCCCATGGAAAAAAGCAGGGCTGAGAGGAGGGTGAGAAGCGGTCTCCCTAGACTCGGATTCCTTTACCCCATGACCAGGGGCAGTCGGACTGAGGTTCCCGGCCCCTCACGAGCAGACTCCCAGGAGAGTGGCACGGCAAGGCTCCCGGGAGCCGGCCGGGGTCACTCCGTCCGCGCCCGCGCCCCCCGCACTTGTGACACACGCCCCGTGACCCCGGGTCACAGTCCCCGTCCGCCCTCACCGGCCCGAGGGGCGCCCTCCTCTCCCGGCAAGGCCCCGCGCTCCCGCCCGGCTGGCTGCCCTTCCGGGCCCCGGGGCGGCCTCTGCGCGGGCGTCCGGGCCCCAGGCCGGCGGGACTTCCAGCTTCTTGTGGATGCTGGCTTTAAGTGCTGAATCACCACTTTGCAACCCGAGCTCCAACCCACCGTGACCCGCGGGCCCCGAGGGCCCAGGCGCTCCGCTCCGCTTACCCACAGAGGCGCTCCGGGGGCAGCAGGCGGGCGCCGAGGACGGAGCGGAAGGTGCTGGGCCGCGCGGAGTGCAGCAGCCACGCTAGCCGGTACCGCATACCCCAGCACAGCCGCCGGGAGCACCGCGGACGCTTCCTTCTTGCGCCGGGAGCCGGCCCTGCCCACTGCGCATGCTCAGTCCGCCGCGCCGCGCCGCCTCCCGGGAGCCTCTGAGTGGCCGGCGCTCCGGGTTTTGCCTGGAACCCGACAGGGTCGGGGAGGCGGGCGTCCCAGGCCCGAGCCAGCGAGCGGCGGGAGCCCAGCGACCAGGCTTTCCCAGGCTGGGGGTTACCGGCAGGGTCACACGGGGCGCACGTGGGAAGGCGGCGAGGTGTACCTGGCTAAGTGTATGTAGGGGACAGAGTCTCACGAATATTGTGAGAGCACAAGGGGCCATGTTTGCGGAGGCGCCCCCATTGGCTGTCGCTCTGGGCCGTGCAGGTGTTGGAACGAAGTCCGAGGATTAGGCGGCCTCCCGGCGAAAGATTCTGCGGGGGGCGCGCGGCCCGCGGGCTTCCTCTAGAGCGCGGTGGGCCCCGGGGGGAGTTAGATCAGGGGGGCCACGAGAGGGAGGCGAGGACCTGGGGGAAGTTAGCAGCCCCTCACGGAGCAAGGGGGAGACGGGACTGGCCACGGCGAAAAAAAGCTTCCGTGGACTTCCAAATCCAGAGTAGAAACTCCTACTCTCTACTACTGCCGTATTAAAACACCAGCACACACACATATATATAGTACTTCTATTGTCGGTTTACTTTAGTCACTATTTATAACTTTTTCCCCTGATGGCTTTATGGTGTTGTGCATCCAAGAACAACCTGATAGTTGTTAGGGATCTGACTTTCGATTACATTTCCATTTTACGGGGGTCTTTAGGACAAAATGCAATTAGGGATAGTGACTCCCTAGCTTGAGTACCTTTAAGTCTCCGTCGTGGCGGGCCTAGGGCTGCAGTCATAATGCTTTGAATCCCATTATTGCTTCAAATTAAGAATTCAGGAAGAGGTTCCCTTAATCAAATGGATGATTCATTAAAGAGCTACAGGGATTAAAAAAAAAAAATACAGTTTCGGCTAAAGGCAACCGTTGGATGGATGGAAACTGAGGTACCAGAGACGAGGAAGCACTCCTAGTGCAATGTAGGGTAAAATTCCACAGTATTACATTCTAGCCTCAATCCACCTCTACTAGTGTCCTGTAGCTGCCCTAACAAATTATCACAAATTTAGTGGCTTAAAACAATAGAAATTTATTCTCTCACAGTCTGGAGGCCAGAAGTCCAAAATCAAGGTATTGTCAGCGCTTTACTCCCTACAGAGGCTCTTAGGGGAGAATCCGTTCTTTGCTACTTCCAGCTTCTTGTGGATGCTGGTTTCCTTGGCTTATGGCCACATCACTCCAATCTCTGCCTCCGTCTTCACATTGCTTTCTCCTCTGTGTGTCTTTCTTCTCTTTTGCAAGGACATTCGTCATTGGATTTAGGGCACAATCACATAATCCAGGATTATCTCATCTCATCCTTAACTTGATTGCATCTGCAAAGATACTTTTTCCAAATGAAACACAGCTTCCTGGGGTTCTGACATGGACACATATTTTGGGGACCACCACCAAATCGGTACCCCACCTTTCCAGCTTCTACCCCCACCCTCTACTAACTGCAATTCACACAGCTGTCACAGCAAATTAATGCTTATAACAATACTAACTTGTCAGATCTCTAGCAACTTTCAAGCCCAGCTGAAATAGTGTTGCCTTTACAAAACTTTCCCTCACTTCCATTCCTCACATACCTTATTGGAAGTAACCACTCTCTGATCTGAGCTACCAGAGTAGTTGGCCTCTCTCCAAAGGCACTTATTTGAATTTTAACCTTCCATGCTTGCAAGAAGCAGTAGATTAGGAATGATGTCTTAGACATTTTTGTATCTCACCTGGCAGCAAGCCCAGTGCTTAGTTAATTACCACTTATCAACTGCATGTTTGCTGAATCTGATTAAGCCTCTAGATGTAACTACCATTCATAGGAAATTCAGGATATAGGCATGCTGAATCACACCGTAAGGATACAACCAACAAAATTTAGAATGTTTGGAACACTACAGGAAAAGTGACCTGAATTGCATAATAAGAGAGGAAGGAGAAACCTATGCATTAAAGGGGACTTAGAATTGACAAGTTATGACAAGCTGTTCATAAACTTTTATATGAAAATGCAAAGAGCAGGAAGACCCAAGCCAGTCTGGAAGAAGAATCTGGAACAGTTATAGTACCAAGTATTAAAAGTTACTATTAAGCTATAGTAATTGAGATAATATGATAATGGCATGAGGGCAGACAATAAGCCATGGAAAACTATTTGGCAGTATCTATTAAAGCTGCATATATGCATATGCTATGACCTAGCAATTCAACTTCTAGCTATATAGCCAACAGAAATGTAAATATGCATCCACAAAAATACATATACTAGAATGTTCACAGCAGCACAATCAATAATAGTCCCAAACTGGAAACAATCCAAAGCCCATCAACAGTAAAATGCACAGGAAAAATAAATTGGGGAATATTCACACAATGGAATACTGTACAGCAATGAAAATGAACAAAAACTACACTTAAAAATATGGATGATTCTCACAAACATGATGAAAAAAGCCAGACCCAAAAGAGTATTTACTATATAAGTCCCATTTATATAAAGTTGAAAATCAGGCAAAACTAATCTGCAGCATAGTATTGAAAGTCAGATTAGTGGTTAGGGAGAATAAAGGGGGCTTCTGGGTTATGTTTTAAGTGGTTATATTGAGTTTTTGAAAATAAATTGAGCTGTACACTTATGATTTATTTACTTTTCTGTTTGGAGCACTTCAGTAACACCTTCAAAAGATAATATTTAAAAATGCAAAACAGGGGCATCTGGCTGGCGCAGTCGGTAGAGCACGTGACTCGGGATCTCAGGGGTTGCAAGTTCAAGCCCCACATTGGGCGTGGAGCCTACTTAAAATAAAATTTAAAAAATTTTAAAAATGGAAAACAAAAAATACATTAATCAAAATGATATGTTTGGTTTTTATTTGAATCTTAATTTGAGTAGACCTATTATGAAAAAGAAGCATTTATGAGATAATCAGAAAAGTAAGAATAGTGAGTAGATATTTGATGATATTAAATAATCATGTTACTTCTGATGGTGTGTTAATGGCTATGGATTTTTCTTTTTAGGGTTCTTTGAGATATATACTGAAATAATTCAATGCCTGGGATTCAACTCAGAAAATTCAGTGGCAGATGAGGGAGGAGGGGAAAATACAGATAAAACAATATTATTGGCCATGAACTGATGATTTTTTTTAAAGATTTTATTTATTTATTTGACAGAGAGAGACATAGCGAGAGAGGGAACACAATCAGGGGGAGTGGGAGAGGTTTTTTGTCCCGCCTGGCAGAGAGCCCCGATCCCAGGACCTTGGGATCATTACCTGAGCCGAAGGCAGACACTTAACGGCGAGCCACCCAGGCGCCCCTGAACTGATGATTATTGAAGCTGGATAATGAATGCTGGGGTGGGGAGGGTATTATACCATTCTCTTTGATTTTGTGTATGTTTGAAATTTTCTATGATAAAAAGCTTTGTGGGGTAGCTGGCTGGCTCAGTCGGTAGAGCATGTGGCTCTTAATCTCAGGGTCATGAGTTCAAGCCCCACATTGGGCATGGAGTCTACTTAAGAAAAAAGTTTTATGGGGTGCCTGGGTGGCTCAGTCGTTAAGCGTCTGCCTTCGGCTCAGGTCATGATCCCAGCGTCCTGGGATTGAGTCCCACATTGGGCTCCCTGCTCAGCGGGAAGCCTGCTTCTCCCTTGCCCATTCCCCCTGCTTGTGTTCCTGCTCTTGCTATCTCTGTCTCTGTCAAATAAATAAATAAAATCTAAAAAAAAAAAGAAAAAAGTTTTATAATGTATGGTAGTTTTAAATATAGTACTATGGTAATAAAACACCTAAAAGCAACATGAATTTTTAAAGATGTTTATATGTGATTTATTAATTATAAATTTGTTCTTTAAGACTTTTTCTAAATGACTTACTTGCTAGTCCTTGAAGGTAAATTTGAGTTACTTTATGTACAGTTCTTGAAATATTAATGTAAAAATCTATAACTCATATTTTCTACAGTTACAACTACTCTTGATTTATCCACTCAACAAATATGGGCCCACCCCTTGCTTTATATGTTGAGGATACACCAGAGAAAAGAAAAACCAGGTTTCTATTCTTGTGGGGTTTACATTATAGCGAGAGAAAGAAGTAAACTAATAATTATATAAAACAATTACATAATATAATTAAAATAGTATTAGGGTGGCGCACCTAGGTGGCAAAATAGGTTAAGCATCTGACTCTTGGTTTTGGCTCAGGTCATGATATCGGGGTCCTGGGATCAACTCTGTGACAGGCTCCCCGCTCAGCATGGAGTCCGCTTGAGGTTCCCTCTCCCTCTACCCCTCCCACTCATGCACTCCCTCTCTCTCTCTCAAATAATTAAATAAATAAACGTTTAAAATGATGATATGGGGGCACCTGGGTGGCTCAGTTCGTTAGTCTGCCTTCAGCTCAGGTCATGATCCCAGGGTCCTGGGATTGAGACCCACATCGGGCTTCCTGCTCATCGGGAGGCCTGCTTCTCCCTCTCCCTCTGCTGCTCCCCCTGCTTGTGCTCTCTAACTCACTCTCGCTCTCAAATAAATAAAATGGTTTAAAAAAATTTTTTTTAAATAAATAAAAATAAAATGATGATATGATGATGTAACCAGGGTGGGTTTTTCTGCTGTCTAGCTTCACCCAAGTAACAGTTCTGGAACTTTCCCTCCATCATCACTATTGCCCACTGGTGGGGGGAAGTGGCAAGTTCTCACTAGCTGTATTAAAGGGGCTTATTCATGTCCTGGGCTGTTGACAGCAGGAGTGTATACATGGGACTGTTTAGGTGGGAGATCAGCAAAAACTTAGAGCATAGGGTTCAGTGTTCGGGCTGCATAGGCAGCTGTCAATGGAGAGCCAGCTTCTGTGGCCCTTCTCATGGGTTAAGCCCTCACCAGAACCTCACCTAGGATTTCCTCTCTCTCTTCCTCTCTCTCTCTCT